TCTAGATATTTCTTCCCACCTTTCCTCCTTTTCTGTCTCCTTCAGTCTCTCAGCTGATATTAAATCCTTATTAGGCTGGGGACACAGCATTTTGCCTACTAAGGCAAGCCAACAACAACACCTGTACTTATTTCACAGTCCAAGCTGTCACGCTGATAATGATAAAGAATCATTTTTCCTGCACTTGTGAAAGGACATTCTCGTTTACCTTTCCCTGCAGTGGTTTGCTCTAAGGTAAGTTGCTTTCTAAATTGCTTTCCCCAGGTAAAAACATTGACTGCAGATGAAAGGCTGTGTTTAGGTTGATAATGGAAGAGTAGTTAAGCCACTTTGGGGCATGCTTCATGCAGGGGAGTCCCCTCAAGAAGGGGCAAGAAGGGACACACAGCTGCAAGCTAGTTGTCAGGATGGTGTCCTGCTTTAATGTGAATGTGGAAGGGCAACAACATCCGTAAGATTGGTCCTGCAATGACTGTTCTATTTTATAATGTGAATAACAAAACAGAATGCTCTCTGCTTTAAATTCTGTCCTGGGAGAAAGTCCCCTGTAAAGTTAATAGGACTCAGCATGAATTTTTCTGGCCCCTACAAATTCACGTCATGGCAACTGATGCTTTTATAGCAATATGGAATCTCTCTCTGAAGCCTCTTGGGGCAATTTACCTGCTCCAGAACTTCAGAACTGTGTGTGCTTATGTAATTCTGTGCACCCACAGAGGTCATGTTTTTTTTCTATTCTCTTGCACTATGATAAACATTTGGGCCATACAACACATCTGACATTTTTTTAACTCCTGTGGCACATCTGGTCTGAGGAGGAGCAGTGCTGTAGCAGACAGCTCAGAAAAGTAGGTTTGAGGCTGCAAACGTACTGCTTGTAGCTGGATGTGATCCTGGAGGAAAAAGAGAATGTTTATAGCCTGGATGTTTCTTTAGCATGTTATGGGGGTAAGCAAGTAATCTGGAAAGAGAGTCCTAATTGCATCTGCCATGGTAGCTGTCAGTCTGTAGCTGATGAAAAGAATCCTGTGCATCCTACACACAGGAATAGTACAGAGGACAAACTGTTAGGGGACCTCTTTGGCCATGGACAGCTGAGGCGGCTTCTGTTTTGCCCTAGATATTGCTTGCCAAGGCAAATCCCATGATTGGAGACCATTGTACATTTCAGGTCAGGAACATTTTCCATGGAGTCTTGGCAGTACCTTGAAGTATTTCCAGGTATTGCTGTAGCACAGTTTTCAAAAAGAGCCCATTCCTCCATACAAGGGTAGCTATTGTAACTTTACTGATGCTCCCATCTTTCTCGGGAACCTTCCTCTTTCCTTTTCCTGCTCCCCTCTGGGATGCATGTCCCCTTGCCCCCTCTAGTCAATCAGCTCAGAAACTACTTACCTACTGGTGGGTTTGCTCCAACTGTCACTCTTTCCAATGCAAATGGCCTATTCTACCAGCTCTGCGGGGCTCACAGCATGATTGGTGATGATAAAGGGTAGGTGACATCAGATACATACACCCCTTACTGCCTAATCGCAAACTGGCACACATACCTGAGTGCTGGCATGTAACCAGGAGAGGTGACATTTGGGCAAGATGACCCAGAGCAGGAAGGGTGGCCAGGCCAGGCCAATGCAAAACAATGCAGCATGGTGTAGTGGGAGGGCTGCCAGGAGCAGAGTGGGTGGGAAGGCTCCCGTATGAACCCGAGAGCAAACAAAATTGCTGCCAAGTAGTGTTACTCCTGCTCCGAGGAGGATCACTTATTGCGGTTTGAAATATTAGCTCATTTGTTGTAGTAAAAGACTGTGTGGACGCAAGGCACTGTGAGGAGACCAAACTAAAATTACATCTGTGGGCAAAAAAAGGCCAGGGAGTATATTTATATCCCTGCTTTGTTATGGGACTGTTACTCAAACCACAATATAAATCATTATGTAAAATCAAAATACCTTTGGTCTCTGCAATGTACCTGACATCAAAGCACAAGTTCAGTAAGTTAAGCAGAATTGCTAATACTTGATGCTCAAGTAGATTTTCTGTAGTATCTAATTTATACTGCTCTTAACATATGGGGCATTTGCTTTGGTAAATGAACTTAGCGATGACGGTGCTTTCCCAGCACACAACTGAAGCACTGACTTGGTAAATCACTAAACCAAAATCACTGGTTTGGTGGAACCTTTCCTTCTTTCTCCATTTGCTGCACATTCCCAACTTGAAGAAAAAATTAAGCAGAATAATTTACTTTAAAACCTGGACTTTTTTTCTGCTTCATCTGACCAATTTAAAGTAGCTATACAAAACACAAATCTAAAATCCTGCATTGTAGGGTAGGGAGTCTTTGAATGATAACAAACCTTTATATGTATGTCTGGGGATTGAGATTGTCCCTAAGCCATGGACTTCTTGGAATCTGGGGCCTGTTTGGTTTTCTTTCACGCTTGAAAAGCACACACTGGGGACTCTGGCATATACACACAAATCTTGTCAGTTAAATATAGATCAACGGGAATCAGCTGGGAGTAAAAATACTCCACTTTTTATGGTAAACACCATAAAACATAGTAAATACTTCAGTTTTATAGCAAAACCTAAGTCCTGTTATCCCCAACCAGCATTCAGTTCCCTCCTTTTTAGGCATTTGGCTTTCTTTGCAGCTTAAATTTTATTCCTAGTCAGTAATATTCTTTCCTCATACTTCCCTAAGTATGTAAGAAATACTCATTTCATACACTCCCAGTAAAGTCTTACTCAGTGAGTTTTACTAACAACTTTCCAACTAATAGTGGTTTGATGTCTCAATTTGTGTTCTTCGTTACAGAAATCCAGCCTGATTTCTTAATCTTTGCAGAAATTGAAAGGTTGAGGGGTTTTTTTTGTTTGTTTGGTTGTTTTTTTTGTTTGTTTTTTTGTGGTGTGGGTTGTTTTGGTTTTTTTTTTTAGGATTATGCCAAGTGGTGAGAAAAAGGAACAGGAAAGGACATAAGGTAATCTTCTAGGTAGTCTAACCAGTCCATGAGTCAAGGTGGCATATGCTTGTAGTACCTTAACTCCTAACAGGATAAATTTCTCACATCCACATAAAGCTGGACTCCTTAATACCCATATCACCTTTGAAAACGCTGCTAAGGATTTAACAAAAATGCTTTAGGTCAGTTAGGCCAAGTTAAAAGACTACTCGCAGCCCACCCTCTGGGACACAAAAATGCACTGATTCAAACCCGTGTGCAGGTAATATGTGACTATAGAGGTTGAACTACTTGGAAGATAACCTCAGCTATGCTAGGCAAAAGAAAAACGAAGATAATGGAAAAGAAACAGCTATAATAACCATCTGTGAGCTCACATGGCCTCTACTTCAGCACCCATAAAACTTAAAAGGATAAAAGAAAAGGAAATTGCTTTCAAAGTAGCAAAGACAATTTTATAAACATTTCTTCTTATCCTTTTATAGGGTGTTGGACTTGTTGCCCTGTTTCTGGTATTAGGTGTGCTGCATGTATTAGCTTTCAGCGTGAAGAGAGGTATAGTCAAGGGAAGTCTTTCCTTCACTTTCCCCTCTACACTGCACATGCACACATATTAGTTTAAAAGTGCTTTTTTTTTTTTTTTTTTTTTTTTTTTTTTTTTTTTTTATAAGCAGCCCTATTGTAATGGTCGCTTTGCACTTCAGCCAGCCCAAGGATGCCAGTGGTATTGTCAAGCACATCAAACCAGCTTGCATTGCCTGGGCCACATTTCATCCTGTCCCCATGGCTGTGAACAGGGATCTGTCCTAGCTCCCAGCAGCTATGTGGCTGTACAAAGCAATGATCCCATTGAAATAAGTGAAGAAATCCAATGGTGACCACAGGGACTTCCCTGGACTAGGCTTATGTTTTGCCATTTTGCAACCAGCACAGCTTTGAGCTATCAATAGGCTTATAGCTACTACCAGAGCCTTAAGTGAGGGCATAGTTTGACTGTCCTTCCATTGGAATGCAATGCCAAATTACACATCCGTGTTCTTCCTAAGGCTTGTTTGCCTCCCAGAGCACTGCTAAGGCTCTTTTCTTTTAACTGGACTGGCTCCCAAAGATAAATCATGGTGCAGCCCCAACATAGTCCTGGAAGCAGCCAAGAGGTGCCACAGCTGGGACCTGCTCAAGGAACCCCCAAGGGTGCTGTGGAACCTTTGGTAGTTTTAAAGATGTGGAATGAAAACCTGCTTTGCTGCCTAGTATGTATCTTCTTAAAGAACTTAATGGAGCTAAAAGGAGAAATTTGCTGCAACTTGTGCCTTTGAAACTCGTCCAGAGTTTTGCAAACTTTTAGTCATTTTTGAAGAGCTCTATTCAAGGCCGAATTGCACGGGGTGTAAATTTTTTCTCTCCTAGAAAAAGAGAACAATGGTGTGTACTTCACACCTTCCAGCTGTGGACTTCTCTCTAGCCTAGACATGAGCCTTGCATAAATTCAGAGCTCACCAATTGTTATGGCTTTATCAAGGACCTTATTAGTGATCATTAAAAATAATCTTGCTTAGAAGGGGACTGCTATGTGCAAAGCCCATCTTTCCTATTTACTTTGTGACTATTAATGGATTTTTTTTATGTTTATACATTAGTGCAAGGAATAGTGTTAGCATAATTCTAGTGTAAAATAAAATCAGCTGTATCCATTATAAGTGCATTACTGCCAGGAACTGTAAATATGTTTATGCCTGATAGCCTTTTGACTCAATAATATCCTGCTATCTCTGTTGGGCAGGCAAGTTTTTAAACCAAGAAAAGACAGGTTATGATTTTCATAACCAAACTGTGCTTCTCTTTGAAGTATGTTATCTAAATTCAAATTTTAAGAAGGTGATTAAAAAATTCTGCCTGTGCTTTTAAAAGAGAACAATTGAAATGTCATCTTCAAAGTGGTGGCAAGAAGGGACAATGTGCACTAAGAACAAGTTCTTCCTCCCAGATATACACATACGCAGACAAACCCTGCCATATCATACCATACAAACAATTTTAATTGTGTAGTTACAGTCAATAACCACTCCTAGTCAGAACATTTCTGCATAAAGAAAATTGTGATACACTTATAAAAACAGCCAGCTGTAACAAAATAACTGGTGTTTTCATAGCAATAAACTCATAAAAAAGAAATACACCTTTATACAGAAAATTTATACAGCTGTAGCTTTAAAATTGATTGTAAACCAAAGGAAGACACATTGCAAACATCAATTATTTTCACATTAATTGCATAAGTTTCTAAGGTGATCTATTAGTTTTATTTACCTAAGCTTATTTGCATGATAGTAAAAATTGCATACAACAATAAGAGTGAAGCTTATAGTATGAATTGCTTGGATAACATAGAGCACTTTTTATAGGCAACTGTGTAAAGCACATTTTCTCTATTTAAAACTTTTAAGACACTTTGTTTTACTGCCCATCAAAATACATTTATAAATAGAAAAAAAAATCAGTATGGTAACAAGAGAAGCAATATTACATTTAACGGAAACTTCCAAAAAAATTAATTACAACATGATGCTGCAGGATCTACAAATAAATAATGAGGACTAAATTGTGTTTCACATTTTCTTTTTCATTTTCTTTAAAACCATGTAACAATGAGAATGGAAAAAAAAAATAATACAGTGACCTTTATTTCCAAAAGAAAACAAATCTGAATTACGGCAGTGCCATATAATACAAGGCATTTGTTGGCATATGTTATCTTTAAACTGCATTCCACAGTCTATAGTTCTTTTGTAACATACAATAGAACAAGAGTAACAAACTCTTTTTATTTTATTTTTTTAAATAAATGTGAGATTCCAAAGATCAAGTGTGGAGTGCTACAGTAATAATTAAAAACCAAGAACAAAACAAAAACGAAAAACAGTAAATCACAAAAGTTGTAATGCTTGTCTGAAGGCTCCAGAATCAAAATCACTGGTATCATGCTTATTGGGTACACTCACAGTGTATCCAGTGAACACAAATTAATATCAAACAATCCTCAACGCTTCATCTGTTGCTGCGAAGCAGTTTGTAAAACAGAGTAAAACATCTAGTGCAGTCTGCATTATCCTTTTTTTCAACTTTTGTGCAAGTTTTGGAAGATTCATTGGCCAAACAATGAATAATAAAGGTTTTTGACAGAACGCAAGATGGAATTTTCATTTCATTAGTAAATACCAGCGGCACTGTTGAAAGAAAATAATACTTTTAGATCAGTCTTTCAATTCAGCATTAATCTCTGTGTTCCCTTCTACCGATAACTCTTCTTCTAGTTTAACAGAAAAAAGCGTGTTTGCATTTTTGTCTTGGATGCTGTCTTCTAAATCCTTGAGCAACTCTTCCTCCTTGTACTCTGCAACATCCACCTCCAAACCAGAATTGTCTTTCAGCTTCCCATGGTGCTTGAGATAATATCGCTGGTTCTGAAAGAACTTGATAATGGTGTACTTGGGCAGGTCAAGCTGAGCGGAGAGAGTCTGGATTGCTTCTTCATCTGGATACAGGCCTACATCTTGTATGAAACTCTGTAGGATCCCTAGGGCTTCAACAGAAATCTTTGTTCGTGGTCGGGGTTTCTGACGATTTTCATCCTCAGATTCAGCTGGTGATGCTACTGTCGGTTGCCTTGGGGGTAGTCTGGGGCCTGGTTGCTGTTGCTGTTGCTGCTGCTGTTGTTGCTGTTGTTGTTGCTGCTGCTGCTGCTGCAAGACAAAGCACAGCATTTTTTTTGTACATGTATTCTTGCTCACATTTTGTGTTACCAAAAAATCCAGGGAGGGAGGTGGAAATTGCAATATGCAATTTGCAATAAATGCTTACTAAGTTTAAAGAACAAAAAGGAAAAAAAAAAAAGCCCATTACTGCTGAACCAGAATTAAAATACAAGTTAGTAACTCTCTGCATTACCTTGCACATGTCTGTTGTATGTGAGCAGAGGTGGGGGATAAAGGGACAGTGGGATATGGACAGACAGGTGGAGGGAACACTCTGGCTTTGTCTGACTGAAAGCGCCAATGACGTGACATCGGTGGGGTTCAGCTGACAAATTTTAATGAACATGCTCCACGAGTCAAGTGCAGATGAGACAAAATGCTAAGTAGGTGACATAGTATAGGATTAACTTGACCAGCTTAGCCAGAACTGTAGCAAGGGCAAAGTGAGAAAAGTGCCAGATGAGGGCAAACACACAGGAGCTCTGCCAGCAGCAGCAGCTGCTGCCCAAAACCAAGGGCTGCAAATCTCTAGCAACAGCTAGACTAAGGGACTGGGGGGATCAGGGAGGAGGAGGAGAGCATTTTGGCTAAGTGAGGAAATATCCCAGTGCTGATCTGACCTTAGCAGGCACTGAAGTATCGTCACACTTGCAAACGTTACGACGGAATATGTTAGCTGGAAGCGCCTAATGTCACACTGTCAAACCCAGCCTCAGCAAGGACAAAGAGAACTGGAGGTAGGAAATCCGTGTTTCCCCTTCTGGCTCTGACATCTCTTGTCTGTGGTGTTGGAGAGGGTCTGTCTTGCCTGTGTTCAAGTATCCCACCGTATACACAGGGAACAAACATATTTACCTGCTTCTGTGTTTGTGCTGGGGATTATTTAGTTAATATTTATAAAGCACTAAGATGCAAAGCTCTAAATAAGTTGCACTATTATTATTAGAAGGGAACATGATGCATTCCAAAAACTCAGGCAATGAAAATGAGCCAGTATGCACATCAGAAGAATAAGATAAAGCAAATCATGATGTAAATAATTAACCAGAGCTTAAAATGAAATTTTGCAAGTATGGATTCAGAAACATTCTTAAAAGGTGAGGCAGTGAGCTCTTGGGACAGAAATGTTTTTCTCATCTACCACTGGAGTACAGTACACTATAAGATCATGTTTAAAATCAAAAGTAAATTTATCAGATAGTGTTTTTGTTGACAATTCTTTCACTTCACAGCACAGGAAGCACTGGTTAGTAAGATATTTTGGATCAGCAAATTTCTTGTCATATGGTACAAACCACCAGTTATTATTAAAAAACAACAGCAGCAAAACAAGCAGTTGCTATCACTACATTTCATTTCCCTTTGCAAGACTCTCTTCGACAATTTTTTGTGTGTTGGTAGTGGTTTCCAAGCTTCCAGTTGCAGCTCACTTGCAGACCCCAAGCAACACAGAATACTGTACAAATACTATAAACACTGGAGGAATTACAATTCTGTCCACTTCGCAGTGCCACTCGTGGTTGTGGAGACTTCGCATAGGTCTCAACACTGCTTTAGAAGCCACTACCTTAAGTGATCTTCGCATTGTAAAATCTGACAGAAATTCTCGTGGAATTAGGGTTCTTGCCTCATCCCAGTTCACATGCTTTCATGTTTTATGGTCTGTGAGCAGTCCCATTCAAGGCTTCAATCCCAAAGAGATTCACGACTACTCACAGCACATTAAATTCTTACAAGACAGGAGGCTTTATATATACAGTTTGAAAACTTGTGTCTCGGATACATATTTATACATCTACAACAACTGCCATGTAGAAGAGCAGAGACAAAACTCAGGCCTGATCTCCCAATCCTTACTCTTACAAGTCATATTAAGAGATTACAATGCAACTGCTTATGTGAATAATATTTGCAAAATCAATCACACAACTTTTATCAACAAGGCAAGAAAATCTAAGTAAGTGGAATAGTGGTTGAATGTTTATACTGTGCATAAGCTTCTCCTTTTATCCCCTTAAGAAGCAATTTTATTAAAAACAATGTACATTTTCAAACAAGTGCTGTTTTATTACTTAATATAGATCTTTCTCTCTCTTTTTGCTAAATCAAACAGCAAGTTTCCAGGCTTTCACAATTATTCTAGTACTTGATATCCTAAGGGATTGTCTTATTCACTTTGCTTTATCTTTAATATACACCCGTGTTGTTTCTAGCTGTGAGATAACTCTATCCTTCCTAGCTTTGTAAATATTTTTCTGTATAGGCAATACAAACGATACACCGGGATTTCAGCTGAGGTTGGGAAAGCACAGGGTAATATCTGCCCTTTAAGAGGGCGCAGTTAAAAGGCTGACCTCAGGTCTTTCGTGAGACTCTTTAAGTCCCCAGCTCCGAGAGACAGCAGTCCGCGCTGCCAACCTGGGCTACAATATTTAGCAAAACAGCCAGCCACGCCCCTGGCTCGTGGTGCCCGTGCAAGCAAAGGGTGGGCACATCCCCCAGAGCAGGGGGCACTGCCAGGGCTGCCCCAGCATGGAGGGCAGCTGTCTCCAAGCCCCGTGGCGTGGGTCCTGCATCCCCTCCTCTCTCTCCCTGACACGGTGCCCTTGTGCCAGCTCACCTGCGGAGCAGCACCCAGCCAAGGTCCAGCGGTCAGCAGGCCTGGTAAGAAAGCGCCTCTATGCTCTCCTTTCCCAAGGGTGGTGGGAGAGGGGCTCTGAAGGAAAAACAAACAAACATTGACTCACCCCAGCCTCGGCTGGGGTTAAAGTGGGATGAGGAATCCCCTTCCCTTCGCTCCTACCCAGGGCGAGCCACCACTGTTGAGGGTTCGAGCTCAGCTTTTGAGTAGCAGCGCAACAAGTTCCTCCCACTTTGCTGGTAAGGTGTTTGACAGTCGATGACAAACACCTCTGCCTTTGGGTCCTGACACCTGTCTAGCCAGGGACAGCCAGCAGGGAGGCTCACCCTGCCCGGCACACAGGTGCCGCTGCGCCACCGCGTCCACACGTGTTTGTGAAAAGCCACCGAACTGAAACAAAAAACATGGGTGGTCGCACGATCTCCTTTGAACTCTGGTGGCAGACAGCAGCGTGCTCTTATCTCATACCAGGAGACCTGCATTTAGCCTGGCCGGGAGGAAAGAAACACTAATTTCCTTTGCTCTGTTTAAAGCTTTATTTACTTAGCGCTCTGCGGGATTGGCCAAGGTAAACTAACCTGAATCTGTTCTGCTGGCACATGGATAATGTGGGAAGGCCTGTCACCATGGTGATGAACTGCATTGCTTTCTTGTTCATAAATGGCATCGCGTTCAGGCTGAGGAAGACTGAGGAACCTTCGGATCATGGAGAGATTCTCCCAGAGGGTCCTGTTCTCTGGTGAGGGATCTTCTTTCCAACGTAACAGCTCACAGAGCCACCCCTTGAAGATAACACCAGCAAAACATTAGTTTTTTTCCTCACTTCACGAGGGGCAAAACGAGGGTGAAATGCGTACTTTAGAGGTGCTGCATTCTCTCATGCTCTCCCCAGGTAGGAAAGGGCTTTCACTTAAAGCAAACACTGATACACCAAGAGGCTGTTGCGCTATTTCAGACACTCGCCAAGCTTCAGCTTTTTGGAAAGCACCTTCTCCTTCGTCCCGCACCACAGTCCTGTTGTTTGTTTGCTTAGAAACAAACTGCTTGATGAAGGCAGAATCCCCTACACGCTCCCCTCTGCAGGACAGGGGTTATACTGATGCCAGTATATTCTTTCTGCTGCCTATTTTCTTTTATGCATGGCTACACCCATCTGAGAGCATCAACACCGTGTTTCAGGAGCCGGTAGATTATCTGCTGAGCAGTTTTTAAAATCCTGTTACTACCACTGCAAACAAGCAAGAACTTCAAATATCTGCCTTGAATATAGGGCTGCCTAATGTAAATCACAGCAGTTAGAGGACCTCCCTAACATCCTTTCAAAAGACAGGAATCCTTTGACTAGACACAGTCAAGTAATATCTTCTTCTTATCTGTTACAAGTAGAGGTACCTCTGCAGGTGAACTTATTTCAGATGACTATCAGTTTCAGGATTTTTCTCACAGACCCAGTTTTACGTACACTATTAGGGCTTGGGGGGGAGCAAGATATATTCAAGCTTCTGATATACCCTTTAGACCATTTTCGCATCAGAGGACAGCAAGTTGCCTAAGAGCTTACCTACTCTAAATCAGATGTGGTTTAGGGATACATACTACAAAGCTGGCTACAGAATCCCCTGCAAGAACTGCAGCGGTTGCTAATTTTCTTCTAAGAGAGACATACACGATCGTCTTGAAAATTTAACAATTGTTTCCTTATGTCTTCTTAAAATTTAATTGAGGATTTTTTTTCTTAATTGCGCATTGGTAGTTTTAAAAGAAAAGTGCAAATGCTCTAGCTAGGACAATGCGCATCACCAGAAATTTTCTGGTATATTAAAATTTAGAAACAAAATATTACATGTATAAAACATGCATGCTTCATTTCTTTTAGCTTCAAGAACCTGTTTTCAAAACTAGGTCCATGCAATTTTATTTCTTAATGCTGTAGGAAAGATAATGTGACGTTTTATTGAATCAACAAATAATATAAATGTACAAAAGCTTTTAGATCCTTTTTATATGTACTGGTAGTTGAAAAATGGTTTATCCAGACTAGTTTACTACTAGATACAATAGATACATAGATACAATATAGATATGTTTTTTCCTGAAGACATTCATATCTTTAGCAAACAGTTAATAAATGCAGTGTAAAAATATTGCCACGACAGGAAGAAGTGAAAGTAAACAAATAATCTTAATGCATTCATATTGTATACGAAAATATTTAGTGAGGTGTGTATAAAAATTTGAAGTATATTCTCTTGGATATAAGTGGAAAACTGAACAAATGACACAGGAGAAAAAGCCCCCGAGAAACAGATAATCAAAATGACAAATGTTAGGGAGATGGTCGTAGCAGAGCTGAGAAAGCAAAAATTTAAATGGGGCCAAAATCTGCCGGGTACTCGCTAGATGTGCAAGGGAGAGAGGAGAGAGGGAGGAGAGCGGTGGCAGCAGAAGCGGCCCCCAGCACCCTGGGGATAGAGCGCACCCCATACCCTGACCACTAAGGCTGCATGCTGGGTATTGCCCAAGGTTTAGCAAGCTGACTGGGAAATGTGGCCGAATGCCTTCGTATAGAGCACATATCATACAGCCTGTCCCAGCTGGAATCGTATGGCATGTTTTTAAAACAGTAGGAAGGGTCTGTGGATTCTGCCCCCCCATCGTAAGGCACCCTGCAATGTGTTAGCACGTTAACGTATGAACTCTCCCTGCCCCTAACAAAATGAACATGTTGCTCGCAGTTCCCTGCCCACCTTGCTTCCATGGGGATACGTGCTGGATTACGGTCAACGACAGTATTAGTTTTCAGCAGTGAGTTAAAAGAGATGCAATCTGAAAGCGTAGGTACTTTGGGATGGAGGAGAGAAGAAGATGAAGTGAAACAAATCTAGATCTTCTAACTGAAATGCAGTTACAAAATTTTTAATTAAAGCAAAAAAACCCAGCCTGCCTTGAAGCATAACAATTGTCCTTTGGTTGTCTGGAGTCTGCATTGCTTCACATAGAAACTGTTCGTCCTCTTTCTAACGGTGGTGAAACAGGGAGCAGAGCTGACTATCATTTGCAGTTCAGTGAAAGTAAAAAAAAGACAAGACAACCTGTCCCCTCCCATGACACCTCTCTAAGGTATACAGACAGACTGGAAAAAAAATTGCACCATGCATTTAGAAGTTGCACATATTTTGTCTGGTGACCATGTGAATCACAGCTTCTTTTTTTAAAAAAAAAAGGCAGTAGAAATTCTTTTTAAATGTCCAGTGTTAAAAATAATTCCTAAGAATCATATTTTACACTCATATTTCATAACAGTTTTTGTTAACAAATTCCTCCTCCCCTTACTGTCATTTCTGTTTCTATATTTACCAGATCAGACCTTATTTTCATTAATTACTGATGGCTAAACATTGTATTTCCAGTATTTTTTCTATCATTTTTTGCACTGAAATAATAATTCTAACTCCTTATCTAAAAACAATTTGATGAATTGTAACCTGAAGCATGTTTCTTCTAGGCTTTCAGGGAAGCAGTGATTTTGAGATACTGAAATCAGATGCTTCTGACACAGTACACACAATAGATTGCTATTCTACCAAAATGTCTCTTTCCCACTGGATTCATCACATTTTTAAAGAAGTAGACATACTCTGATGAAATGTATGATGAGCAACAGGGAAACAACTAACTGAACACTTCTCAAATTATGAGGATAGAAACAATTTTTTGGTCTTCATGGTTTATTTTTGAAAATATTGATGAAAGTTGATCTCACAAATATTCTCAGAAGATGTAGTGACTGGGCAGTAAGAGAGGCTGTAGGAGTTTACTTGCCTAAGAGACTAAAAACTTTATACCAATATGCTTCCTTTTGGTTCAAAACAAATAAACAAAACCGTAAGCATTTAGTGTAGATTCAAGTTCAGAATTCCGTACATGACATAACGCTCATCCATAAAAGTCAGCTCAATCAGAATGTATGAAATGCTTTTTGTGAATTTTAGGAAAAGTAATCATACAGACTTTTCTATTCTAATGGTGAATTAAAATTTGTAAGGTTTTTTTCCACTTGATCTAAATAAGTATGAACTGCCGTAGTCGATGCAGTTGCATTACAAGTGAACATAACAAGGCTGATTTTTTTCCCTTTCTACTCATATAAGTCTACAGCAATTTCTGTCTAGTTCAAACAATTTATTCTGAAGGAAGGCTTGGGCCACTAGGTCTTTTCTGTCTTTACAGTCTTATGGGAAGTGGAAAGGACCACAAAATAATAATGAAATATTTACAACTCAGATTAGATCACAACCAGTTTATACAGCATATATAGTACATTGTTTAAAAAACAGACTTAAAATAATTAAGCTGATATATCTATGCAGCAAGGCAAACCCCCCAAAACTCTGCACTGACATTGGAAACAACCTTGATTTTAAAACAGAGTAAATTTGCCAGGCAACATTACACTGAATATAAAGAGAGTACAAAGCAAAATATAAACATTAGCCACATGTAAATATGTTTGGAGAACTTTCAGGATGTTACTACTTTTCAAACTGACAAAGTTTAATTTGACACCTTCTGTTCTAAAACCTTTGTTTCTATTCAAAATCACGCCTTTAGCTGCTATCAATCACTATGCTCTCCCTATTACTTAAAATACTGGCATGGGCCCTGGATAAGCTGAAAATGCCATGCAGATGAATTCTGAGATAATATGTTCAAACCTGTTATATACAACACAAATCCTGTAAAGTTATGTATTGTAAACCTACATTTATTGGGAACTAAAAGTCTTAAATCCATCTGCTACAAAGAAAATACTGTTATGCACTTTCAAGTAACCAAGTACCATCTGCAAAGGTCTTGCTACAGTAAGCAAGAAAATGGTGAAAAAAAAAAAGATGCTAAACCTAAGATATTTAAAATAAATAAGAGTCTTCTGTCTGGTTTTCTGATAGGGATTTAGTAAAGAAACATAAGACATTAGAGGAAAAAAACCTGTGAAAGCCGAACTGCCAAACTATTGCAGAAAAAGCGCAAAGAGGATAACTGCCAAACATTAGACTCTGCAAGGCCCATGAGCATGCTTATTTTAAAGAAAGCATCTATGCATTTTATCTGTGTATCCAAATGCTATTTTATTCAGTCTGACCTGTGCTGTGTTTAAATAAAATCTTCTGCTCTTTCACATAGAGTTTCTAACAAACTATTCTTGCATTCTGATATCTTTCTTACTAAAAAAAACCCCAAATTATACCAACCTTAACTAGATCAAAGAGTGTTGCATTACGATCATGAAAGATGTTTTCTGGGCAAAGCTTTCCAAATCAGCAACAAACACATCCAGTCAGGGAAGAAAGGGCTTCAAGGTGGAGCAACTGAACTCTTTTGTTTGGTGAATTTGTTACAGTCATAATAGTTTGCCAAACGCTGAGTATTTCTTACAGAATAACTAACAAAGACTCCAACATTTTTTAGAAGAGCTGTAATTCGAAGCTAAGAAGGCAAAACATTTTAGAGTATCAGTGCTAAGATATGAACAGTTTTTCTTCGCTATAGTATATCTAAGATTATTTTGTAGCATTCTCTGGGGCATATAGTATAATAAAAATATATGGTGTTAAAAGAAATCAGTCTAAATAGGGAGGTATTTGATACAAACATTTTAGCAGAAAGTGTGAATTGCATTTCAGCATCTACTGTGAACAAAGACTAAGTACATAATCCATTAAACAGTACTTCTAACTAAAAAAAAAATTGAGTATTGTAGACTAAAGTAGGCATTTTGAAT